GATTCCTTTTAGATCTTGAAACCAGCAAATTCCACTAATGCTTCACATCCCTGAAGCCCTAAGATCCCTGCCTTAAAAAGCAAGCCTTTCCTCAACTACCAGACCCTTCTCTCTCACTTTCTCACCCCCATTTACTCGGGCCCTCCTCCCTTCACCCCACTCTCCGTATTGGTTGAATCAATGAACGCTCCCACTAGCATGTGTGAGAGTTTCACCTCCTCCATCGGTGCTAACAGTTTCCTAGACTTTATAAAATAATCTGCAGATCTCGTTTTGGTTTTGCTGCCTTAGTTCCCGGACCTTTGCATGTGCTTTCTCCCGGGTTTTTCTTTGGCTCGTAGCACTCACTCACCTTTGTGACCTCATGTGTTATTACCCTTTCAGAGAGGTCTCCAAAACACCTCCTCTGGGAAGCGCCCCCTCCGCGCTGGCCCTCGCTCTGTGACATCTTCTCACCTCCAGGCTTGAGCAGTTAGAAAACAGGGGCCTTAATCAGCTCTGAATCGCCGGACCCTAACGAAGGGTTTGACATGTTTGCTGAATGAATGTGGGATAACCATGCCTTTCTGCAAGTTGATAGTCCTTAATATGGGACCAACACTAACTCCATGCCCCATTATAAAGGGGCTTTCTCACTCAGAGACAAGCAAAAGGACAGATAGAATCTAAGTAGCTATCCACATGGGAGGTATAATCGGCACAGGAATGCTCCTTGGGCTGCAAAATGTGAATGTATTTATGACCTAGAATAATTGTTGTTATTCAACAAGCTCACAAGAAAGAACTTGTGAGACCTCTGCTTGCGTATGCTTTGAAAAGCAGCAGAATCCACTTGGGCCAGGATTTGTTTGTTTTACTTATATCAAATAAGAGCTAATTGCTAACGTTTCCTCCCTGCGTCCCCAAATAGCTTATGGCCTAATGTACAAGAACCACATATCTGAACCAGCTTTCAGAAATGTCAGAACGAGCAGCAGCCAAGAGTCCCACCACCCAGACTGCAAAACGCTCTCAGAGCCGGGAGAGGAAGGCGCAGAGGTGAGAACGAGGGTGTCGGGGCAAGGTCAGTCAGTGGATGTCTTCGGTCATCCTACGCGGAGTCGGTGCCTGCTGCGGGGCAAGAGCTACCTAGGGCGCGGGACACAAAGACAGTATGCAGTGGAGCAAGGACTAGCATAAAACAGACAAACAAATAAAACAAGAGGTGCAAACTGGCATTCTTGGGTTTCCACCCCGACTACACCACTTACCAAGTGCATGACCTTGGGTAAAATTCTTAACCCCTCGCAATCTTGGTTTTTAAACAAACAAACAAAATGAGTTGTTTTTGAGGATGAAGGACAAAATGTTTACGTATGATGCATAGAAGAGTCTGGAACATAGAAGAAAATGAACACATAGGGGCTGTTACTGAGACACAGTTCACCCCTCAGGAGACTGTCTTCTATTAGCGCAGCAAGTTTTATCCACACATTTGTTAGTTCATACATTCATTCATTCATTCATTCATTCAGGAAGCATTTATTGAATGCTCACTATGTCTCAGGCCCTGTGCTGAGCATTGAGGCTAGAACAGGAAACAAAACAGACAGGTGTTTGCCTTCATAGTAGGAGAGGGAAACAACAATAAATAGAAACACGTACATAAAAAAAACATGTTGGGTAGTAGTAATGAGCACTCTGCAGCAACATGAAGGCAAGGCAGTGCAACCGTGATGTGGGTGTGATGTGTACACAGGTTGAGAAAGGTCTCTTTAGGGAAAGTCTTTCTGATAAGTGACAACAAGCAAAGGCCTATAAGTGAGGGAACAAGCCCTGCAAAGTGCAAATATCCTCCCAAAGAGACGAGCCTGGTATTATGCAGGAGCAGCCTCACCAGGAACCCTGCTCAAGACACAGGAACCTGGGAGCTGAGGCGCCATGTACTCTGAGGAGCAGCCTCCTCCCCTGGGCCCTGGGTCCTTAGGCTCCCACTCTCCTTCGCACAGACCCACCGATGGGACTCCGTGAGGGACACCGCGGGTTCTCCCCGCATTAGGCAACCAGCACTGAGAGGCTAAACAGCATCAGGAACAGCCTCAAAGATCAATCACCAATCGAATCCAAGTGAGACAAATTATGTAAGAAAAGATGTAGACTGTTCGCCAGACATCATTTTTATAGGGTATAAGAGACGACAGAACAATCTTTGAGCACAAGCGCTGAGGGGATGCCGAATAAGGAAAGACAAAGAGAAGAGGCAGCTCCCCCGGCTTTGCGTGGAGCGAAGGCAGAGAGGCAGGAGTGGCGGAGGGAGGGCTGGAAAATGAGATGAAAGACTGTGCATCCCCATCTCACAAAATGATGTTGTACATAACCTGAGGAGTCTGAAGCTCCCCTATGGCTCACCCACAGACATCAAGGGCCACCGGTTACTACTCGTGGCTCACTTGAACTTGCTGACCACAGTGGCTGGTGACGATTTGGGAACTGTGACTTTGGAGCCCTGACTTTGACCTCCAACTTCAAGGAGGTTAATAAAAAGTAATATGTTAAATAATTTTGGATTCTTCCTTTTCTTTTTTAGTCTATTGGAAAGTTCTCAACCCAAACTGGCAGATGTTTAGTACATGTGCTCTTCGGCCTGCTTTCACCCTCAGCAGGCACAGATAAATAAACCTCTGGGTTGAGCCACAGTGTAGTCCCCCAAACATTCTCAAATCTCCCCTTCATATAAGAAATGGTGTGAACCACCCTCTGGCAGAGGAACACATGGTTTGATTTTTTTTTTTAATCTAGTAGAAGAATGAATCACATGATTTTTGCATATTTCCTTCATCCAGTGAGTAGCTGTCAGGTTGATATTAGGGGTATAGACTGTGGTCAGAAAATTGATTTTTCATTTAAAGCTAAGGGGCTGATTTTATGCCTTGGTCTCAGATTCAGAGCAAGGAGCCCACGTAGCCATAAAGCTACTTAGCAAAAGCCACAGACCTCAAAGCTAAAGCATGTATGCGTGCATGTGTGTGCATGCGTGTGTGTATATAGGGTTACATGAGAGAAAAGCATGAAGGCAGGCAGGAGCTGATAAAGAAGAGAGATAAGATTTGAAGTCCTATGAGAGCTGAGAAATCGTTCTTGTCTAAGAAAAGTCAACTTTATAATAATATCAAAGTTGAATCAACAGCTATGCCAGTAAAATGCTTTTATTATTTGCCTTATTTGGACCTAGTCCACATTGCTATTTAATTGCTTCTCTCATTTTCTTGGGTAATAATTATAAGGCTAACTTTTCAAATAAAATAAAATTGTTCCTCTGCTTTATGCAGATTGGCTACAAAGCAGGTTAAGGCAAGTATCTCCAAACCCTTGTCCTCAGTCAGTTGGTCTTGGAGGTTCAATGCGTAAACGGGATGAGGAAGACCGTTCTTATCCCAGTTCTTGCACTAATCATCAAGTCCCTTAGGATGATAGGTCAGGAAGCCCCTCTAGGCCTCAGTTTCCTTCTTTATTAGATAAATATGTTGGACTAGTTAATAGAATATATGTGTTTGTGTATATACATGTGTGTGTGCGTGCGTGTGTGTGGTGTGAGGTAAGGAGGTGCATAAACATTTTCCAGGATAAACTAGTAATTAGTTTCAATATATTCTATGATGAGTCTCTAACCCTAACCTAGTCACTAAACTCTCTGCCATTGGTCAAGGGGTTCTTGCAAGGGTGAGGTGGAAGGTCTAAAACACCTATCACGGCAGTGTGTAAGAAATCAAAGCAAACATCGCTCAATAGCTTAGTAAAACCTTCTGATACTCAATATGATAGAAACCTTCACTTTGCCTGCACTTGGCCTGCAGTCTCTTGGTCTGCAAAATGTGGTAGTAATGAATGCTTACTGAAACAGCATAAAGTATTAAAAATTACTTAGAAACACTGTCTATGTATTTTATCATATATTACTTATAAGTATTTATTATATATTACTGTGTTTTTAAGTACTTTCTGGAAACTTGAAGATACAATCTCTGATTTCCCCTCCTTTGCTCTGTGTCTGAGGTTGATTCCTGAAAATTGCATTTGTTAGAGTCACGTGCCCAGCGGCTTCCAGGTAATTTGGCCAACGGGAAGCACTGGTGGGAGATTAGGAGGCAGAGCAAAGCCAGGGCACTCCTCTGCCCACTCGGCATTGAGGGGTGTCTCTGGCAGCAATTCCTCTGTGGTTCTACCTGCTCTTGGAAAGCCGGCCCCTCTGTGGTCCCAGCTTCTGTGGAGGCAGCCCCCAGCATTGTTCCAGCTCTTGCTGGGTGGCACCCCAACACCCACCACCTCTTCCCTTTGATGCTCCAGCCCTCCAGGTAAGAGCAGCTGCTCATCTCTGGATTGCCTCACGGTGCCCTCGGCCCTCCCAACCTTTGCAGCAAAAGCCCTCCTTTGCGCCATTTGGCATGAGCTCTGCTTTCCTGACTGGACTCTGAGGCCCATCGAGGGGACAATAGGTCTCTGAGAACACACATCATATTTAGGAGTTACAGTCTCCAGAACATGTACTTGGCAGAGTCATTCCTTCTTTACTGCTACAGAAAGTCCCTCAAAGGTTTCATTTGCCTGACCACCTAGTACTATCTGCACTAGACATGTGTTAGAATGGAAGGGACAGAGAAGTGAGAACCAGAACTCACTATGTAATTGTGACCTTCACAAGTCCCTTAGAGCCAAAAGAGCCTGAAGTCTTTCATGTCACAGAAGGGTCAGAGTTCATCTGGCCTGCCTGCCTATTTAGCTCAAACGCGGGAGGGCAAGAAAATATGTTTTAGAAACTGGCATGATCCTTACAAATCTCTATATATTGCTATTCTTATATAGGACACAGTTGACTGTCAGAACAGTCAACTGTGTCCTATATAAGAATAGCAATATATAGAGATTTGTAACATAACAACTTGTTATGTTACAAATATAAATCTCAAATCTCCTCCTTTGCAACATAACAACTTGTCAGTTTGCCAAAGACCAGGTCGACTTACCGATATCGAGGACCCTCTGCTTTGCTGTGTGCTGCCGGGAGTGCCAGTATTTCCAGTATTTCAGCTGTTCGTCTCGGTTTTTGTCTTCGCTGAAGACCACCATCACCACGCTCTGCAGAGGGGAGAATCACGTGACTTACTTTCTATTCGGTGCCTTGGCTGCTCCACATGGTCTCTAGTTCTGGAAGTTCTAGCAGAAGTTCTACCGGAGCTGTATCTCTGTAATATTGCTTTCCTTGCTTTACAGAAGCCCAGACGAGCCTCAGTTATATGGTTTGTCTTGTTTTAAAATGGGCCTACTTAAAAAAAATGATTGGGAAATGAGAACAATGGAAAAAGAGAATCCTACATCCTTTTTACCCTGAATCATAAACAACCATATTAACCGATGAGCAGCAAATTTATTATTTTGCAAGGTGAGTGGGAATACCAAAATAAAATTTAAAAAAAAAAACGTTTCTTGTACTGAAAACAAGCACATTTTTGAAATTTTGTATCCGGAAACAAAGAAACTGACACCATTTGTAAAGGAGCAAACATCTGTTTCTGGCCTAATTAAGTGCCTCAGGATGGAATACTGATTTAATGAGAGAAATACTAAAGTAATGAGAGGAATACTATAAGATGACTTCGTATTGCTGAACGTAGATCTAAACCACAGACCAAAAGATACAAGGTCAACTACGTTATTTATTTCAATATAATGCGGGGTGCTTTAAAAATGAGCTTGAGAAACCCAAACCCCTTTTAGTTCTAAATTATAAACAGCCATATTAAGCTAAATACACGTTAACTCACTGTCTTTTATGAGATGGAGGAAGTACCAAAACAAGCGAAGAAACAAACAAACCCAAAGAACCCTTTACAGTATCAGGGATATGGCTTGTCCCTTCTCACTCCATATCCAACATACTTCTTAGACATTTTCCTACTATTCCAGAAGAATATTTCATTGACCCTTATTGCTTAATAATTTCTTCTTTGTAGCATTTTGCACACTTGCAGTCATTTACTTAATTATTTCAGCCGACGGCAATGTCTTCCCATCGGCTTCAAACTCAGCGAGGACAGGGACAGTGCCACTCACCATAGCAGCCCTCACGCCTGACAAATGACAAATACCAGATATAAGCTTGTGCTTGTGCAGTCAATTCAAAATCTGTCTTATTCCCGACGTGTGTGTAAACACTTGTTACGCAGGAAGCAGATGCTTGTTAGGAAAACTAGTTTAGAAATGTATATCTGTATTATTTGAATTTAAAAGCAGCGTGACCTTCCAAGGCATGGCAATAACCGGAAAGGACACCACTGACTGTGCTGGTGGATCCACAGCTCAGCCAGCTCTTCATTTTCTTCCCTCCCACTTCTTCAAACTTCCATTTACATGTAAAAGTTTACTGGGTGTTCTGCTGTTTGCGTCTGTCTGTTCCAAAATAAAAATAACATTTAAGGTAATCTTTTGTAGCAAATGAATAAATTAGCATTAATAATGGCTTGTTCTTGGTATGGAAATCTATTTCTTCTGTGATAAACAGAAAGGCAGTTTGAAACTGCTATTACCAAGCCTATGCGCTTCCACTTAGATGAAACACAGTTCTGGGAAAGTAACACTGGTAGGTTCCAAGTGCATCCCTCTTTCCTCCAAACCACTTGCCACCTCCCCTCCTCTCTTCCCCCAGAGCTGGGGGCTAAGAAAGATCCACCTGAGAGATGCCATCCTGCTCTCCAAGGGTGTTAGAATGAAGCGCTTAAGGGAAGGAAAGCTCCTCGTTTTAGCCAAAATGAAGCAGAAAGAAATAAAATATCCATATTAAATTGTTTCCATGGTTTCAATAAAGATGAACCCTTGGGAAAGTCCCTGTTGTCATGGCCTGAAAATACTGCCACTACCCGTCCTCCCTCTTTTTGAGGTGATGCTAATGCTGTTAAGAAGGTGTAGGTAAGTTAGACACTTACTCAAAATTTACAAGATTAAAAAAAAATTATCTAGTATCTTCTTATCAGGTATCCACATGCAAGGGTGTTGCATGTAAATTATAGGATATATATCCAGAGGTGGGTTCCAGTCTAAAATGCCTCCGCCTTTCAGCTCTCCATGCTAGCCAACACAGTGCACCTTAGCGGGGAAGAGAATGAATGGGTTCAAGAGTCTAACTGACTGGGATACATCCCGGTTCCCTCACATTTCAGCTATGTAATCCAGACTAGTTACTAGCTTCTAAAAGGCCAAGTTTCCTCATTATAATATAAAAATAACAGTGCCTATTACATGGAGTAGTTTTTAGTTTCAAATTAGTTACTATGTGTATGGTGTTTAACAAAGAGACGGCACACAGAATATATATTTGATGAATATCAGTTGTTACTATGTGGGTCTTATTGTGGTTGTTATTACTATTATGGCATCTCTCCACCTATTATTATTATTATGGCATCCCTCCACCACAGCCTTGATCTTATTAAGGCATCCCTTAATAAGATGCCTATTCTTCTTATTAAGGCATCCCTTCGCCATGGCCTTGACCTCCTATGGGAACATACTAACTCCCTCGGTGGGCACACAGCACAGTAAGCGCCTTCCGATCTGCAATGCGCTCAACCTTGGGTGGGACATTAGCTCCACATCTCCCGGCTCACTCTCAACTGCCCTGCCTCTGACAGCTCTGATCTGGGATTGGCAGCCTTGGAGGGAAGAAGGCTGTTGGATGGAGAAATGAGCAGCGATCCTTCTTGTCTTTCTCATCAAAACCAAGCCAGAAAATCCAGCTGATCCAGACATCACCACTGCAACGATCTTACCAAAAGCTAGCGACAGGCAGGCCAGCCAACAGGGGCCCAGAGACTCTTCTTTCTCTTTCACCTCATTCGTTGCCTCTGCATGGAATCGGGGACGGGGTTAGCTGGGCTGCCCTGCGCTCTGGGGCACAGCACAGCACTCCTCTCTTAGAGGCGGAAGAGATAAGGAGGAGGTAACTGCGGGTAAAGTAAGGTGGGGGTACCGTGCACGCAGCAGCAAAAATCATTCTATGACAGGGCTGGAAAGTCCTTCAGCCTCTCTTCAGAGTTCTTCTATAATCTTCCTTTTCAGTAGAGAGGGATTAGCAGTTCCCTCCCTTCTTGGCAGTAGCGAGAATGCCAAAAGCTGGCAGGCTTCCAGGGCACTTTCATTTCCCACAAATAGGACTAACACTGATGAACGTAAAATTTCTCCAAGTCACCCCTCAGCTGCTGAGTAAGCACTGGGCTGCAGACGGCTTTTAAACAAAGTTGCAAAGGGCCCCAGGACACAGCGCAATTGCATCTTCCTTTACAGACAAGAGCAGCAACAAATATGTTCGAATATGTTCGGGCTTATAGTTACTTGAAAAATTAAGATCCATTGGTTGAAAACAACAACGACAACTAGATAGGCACACAGGCAATGAATGAAGCTGGGAAAATTCCTTGGATATGGTCAGAAAGCATGTTCCAACCACCTCCCTTCCTGGGGTTTATTGGTCACTGATTAAAATGATAAACTACAAGCCAATATGTTCTCTCACCCCAACTCTCTGACATTTGTTCTAGAATTACTTATTTTGGAATTGTTTCCATGCCCTTCCCACAATTGAGGTAACAATTGCATTCATCTGAGCCCTCTGTGCATTACTGGACGAATGTGGCCATACCCTGACTTTGCTGATTGGATGTCGGAAGCATTTGTTGTCTCCGGTCTCACTGAGTGTTATGGCATAAAACTGTCCTTTGTTGAGGTAGGTCATGGGGCCCTCCCCCTGCTTCTGACGGAGAGATTTGGTGGCTTCCAGGGTATACTGAAACGTGCCACTGTGAACAGAAAACAAACAGGGGTCAGATGCACTCACTTGGACGTTTCTGCCTTTCTGATCAATTTCATATCGATACCATGTTGTATGAATATTAACCAATATTTACTCTATTTCAGAGACAAAACATAGCATATGGCAAGAGAGAAGAGACCAGACCGAAGGTCATTGCTAGTACGATACATATAACATTCCTAATAGTGGCCCATAAACCAGATGGCTTAGAAGGGGAGAAAGTCCATGATGTGCCTGGCCAGCTGTGCACGGCCGTGCCGGGAGAACCTCTGTTAGGTCTTAGACGGCAAGTGGTGATGCCTGAAGCTTAAAGATTGATAGAATTTACCACTTTTATCCTAGCAACAAACCAAATGTATGAATGCTTTTGTTCATATACCTGTTTGTTCAGAAATATTTATTTCTGCTACACTGCAGTAAGGCACACAGTGGTGATCCAATAATAAATGCTGTGTATCTTTTCTGACTCATCAGAATCCCTTCATTGAGCCTACCTTCTTTTTAGCTCTTTAATTTCATAGCCTTTAAAAGGCTAAGTGCAAAAATAACTCTCAAAGTTTGCCTCTTAAAATGGCCTACTTACAAGATTATTAGCACAGCTTTCTGTGTTAAATATTTCTTCAATGTTTGATTTTTTTAAACTTTTGTAATGAGAAAAATCTGAAAGACAAAATAATATTCCTCTTCCATGATAAAAATATTAGGCTTAAGCTGATAAACTAAGCAAATTCCAAAATATGTGTCTTAGAACAAGGTGGAAAATAAATCATTTAAGACAGAATCAATTCCACTGTCATTTTGTCTGGAAAAAACAAATTTCTATATATATAGCCAGTGATTCATAAAATTTGAGACCTGGACAAGATATTAGAATTGCCTAGACTGGTAGCTTGCAACTTGTGTGGGGCACAGACTGCTTAAAAAAACAAGAAGAAAGCTGTGAACTCTCTTCCCAGGAAAAAAGTATAATGAACATAAATGGTTTTGAATATAACTTCAGGTGGTTTGTGTCCCCCAAGCCTATCTGCAACAGTGAATAAGAGCCACCTTTGTCATTCTACAGCTGAGGAGAGGGTGAGACACTTGCTCACTCTGCTGGACAATGACGGCAGCAGAAAGAGCCACAAGGTCAAGGGACTGGTAGGTGGGTCAATGCTCTTCTCACTGGCTTGACAGCTGATTATAGAGTGAACAGGATTTACAGCATGCAAATTATATATGTATCTCCACATTGTAAAAGGCAATTTGGAACAGTGGTCTTCCTGCCTCTCTCCTCCCCACTCCACACACCCAAATTCTGACTAGGACTATCTGCGAGGATGACTGAGGAGCCTGAGATTGGAGCAAGAGCCTAAAGGATCAGGACGACTTCAAGTGGAGACAGAGACTAGAAGACGGCCACACATGTAACAGCAAAAGGGCAAGAATACAATGAGAGACGAGGGTTAACGCAAATAGAGGGCCCTGACCACCTTCCTAAGGAATTTGTGTTTGATTCTGTCTGAAACGGTGACTCACTGGAAGTTTTATCATGGAAGAGATGAATTCATTTCTTGCCATCCTCTCCTGCTTTCAGGCAGGATCACAACCGAGGTCTTTGAACATCTAGCTCCTCTACCGAGAATGTTCTTAATTTGCCTCCTTTCCCTGGAAAACTTCTGCTGCTAATCCTTCAAGATCCAGCTCTAATGCCACTTCCTGTGAAGCTTTCACCTACCTCAGCCCCACCCAGGCCTGCAGGTCCTCTCAGCTGTCTGTTTACGTATCTCTGTAGCAGGAGTCATCACTTAGCAAACGTATTGCAATCGTATTGCAATCTGTCCCGTCACTACATTTGTCTCCTCTGAGAGTCTTTTGTAAGAAGTTACATCTTATCCTTAATCCCCATTGCGCTGCTGATCCGTGGAAGACACCGGAGTGTGGGCTAGCTGGAAGTTAGGTATGTGCAAAGTGGAACGGAAAGGGGAAGAAGTTGTCGGGGCAAGGAAATCAGTTACATTGCAATAGTTCAGGAGGAAATAAACGAGGGTACGATGGAGGGGACGGGACAGGTACAAGAGAACATTCAGCACTTGGCGAATGACGTGACAGTGCGGCAGGAAAGCAAGCAGTGCGGCAGGAAAGCAAGCAGGCCCTTCTGCCTCGAGGGGGTGGCTGGCAGAACGCTGCGTCATTAACCACAACAGAAAAAAAAAGCAGGAGACCAGGTGTGAAAGAAGCAGAGCAGAAGGACAGATAACAAAGAGTGCCATTATCCACACGTGAGGTGGAGACACACAAGCGTGAGGTTCAGAAGAACACCAAAGCAGAGATGTCTAGTCACCAGAAGGACGAAGACGGGGTAGAGAACCCAGAAAACTGGTCAAGACTAGAAATAGTATTTTAAAGGTCATTTGTGTAGAGAAAAGAATTGAAGACAAAGGAAATCGGATTGTTCAACAAAAGTATACAGAGAAAAAAGATTTAAAAGTATAACTTGGTGGTACATTTATAGGGTCATCGGTTCCTCGGTGGCCAGGGGCATCTCCTGGTAACCTACCTTGATGTCTGGTCATACATGTATTCCTCAGCCCCAACTGAAGCACTCCGAAATTTCTGAAAAATTTTAAAGTTACCAAATTAAAACAAATAGATGAGTCCTTATGATAAGACAAAAGAAGTGATCTATGTAGCCATACTGTTTTATCTTCACCTAAGAAAATTATACAATTTTTGATACTATTATCTTTAACAGCATTTGTGCATAGAGCATGCATATCACCTGCCCAATGAAAACTATACTCAACACATAATGCATTTGTACTTTGTAGATTATACACATGTCTGCAGGTGTTCTTAAAGTGTTTGCAAGTACTGAAATCATTTCCTCAAGCATATAAGACATCTCTTCCATTTTCCATTAACTCTACAGTCATTCCAAAAGTCACCAATTCTAGGTTAATGGAACACTAATTACAGAGAGGCCACATAGCATAGCAAAAGCAGTGTAATAGAGTGGTTAGGAACATAGTTTCTAGAACGAGACTATCTAGGGTCGAGTTCTAGCTTTTTTGCCTGCTACCTGTGTAAACTGAGGCAAGTGTCATATTTGTCTCCATCTGTAAAATGCCTACTTACAGTGAGTAGAAGGATTAAATGTGCTTCTAGAGGTAAAGTACTAAGAACAGTGTGCCTGGTACACAGTAAGCATTATATGTGTGTATTAAATTCTATTATACAGTAATAACTTAACCATATTCAGTGACCTTTTCTAAGGTCTTCATTATCACCATATTGTACGAGTTAAGCTTTGGGGGAAACCCTAAGTCTTAGTAGTGCATGTGAAGAAGCTTGGGTCCAGAGATGTTCAGTTGTTGTTTATTTAGTGCAAGTAGAATGCCCTTTGCCACACTTTAGAACTTCAAGAGAAGAAGGACAAAAGCCCTAACTCTTGATTCTAAAATGAATATAATAAAATATTGATTTTAACAAAAGCACTTGGTTGGCCATACAACACCTGGTCCTTCCACTGTGACCTTTTTTCAAGTGTCTCTTTCTAAAAAGAAGGTTGTCTTTTTTAAAAAACAACCTTCCTGCTTTTCATTTCTCTGCCATAAACTTCCATTATTTGACCAGCAATTTAAAGGTTTCCTTCTGGGAAACAGTTGCTCGTGGTTATTTCCTAAACTTCCTTCATGATCCCTAGATATCATCTCTAGATATCAGTCTACCCTTATATTACAGCTTATATGCACATACTTTTGATCTTTACTTTTCTCCAGTCTTATAAATTCTTTGGATCAAAGAATTAGTTTGCCCTTCAAAGTTTACCCAAATGCATCCCAGGAACATTTCACAAATACTTGTTGAATGGTTCAATAACCATAACAGAGAATCAAAAATTCAGATTTAGGTTTTTTTTACAATCAATCAATTAGCAAAGCATTCCATGGGAATTTTCTGGGGTTTCACCATCTACTTGGTGCCAGGAGAAATACAGAAAATATATAAGACACTGTCTTGTCTTCAAAGAAATAAAAATTGGTTGGGGGAATGGGTAAGTTCACATGAAAAACAACAATAACAACGAAAGAAACTAAAATACAGCAAATGACTACATATGAAAGTCTATGTTGATTCATTCATTCATTCATTCATTCATGTGTCCTCACTGGAAAGGCACAGAATGGGCATTTCCAGGAAGGAAAGATCAGCAAAATTATAGAAAGATTTCATGGAGATTTGCTCTGACCCTTGGGAGCTAAAGAGAAGTTGGATTAATTGAAAGAATTGAGAGAAAGTAATCCAGGTGAGAGAGGACCGCCATGATTTAAGACAAAATGATGAGTACAAATGTGGTACGTGACAGGGCCAAGGACACAGGCCTGACCTGATTATGAAGGGAGGATCTGGAAATCTATGTCTTTACTGACCAATACAGTAGCCATTAGATACATGTGCTGAAGTTTATTAGAATTACATACAATTGACCATTCAGTTCCTTAGTCAACCAGCCACATTTCAAATACTAAATTGATACATGAGGCTAGTAGCTACCATATTAATAGCATAAAAGAAAATTTCCATTGTTGCAGAAAGTTCTATTGGTTGCAGAAAGTTCAATCGGCTGATATATGAAAAAGTATTTATATTTAATATAGTTAAGAACTAGGAAATTTTGGAGTAGGAGGGTAGCATGATGAAAAGCATTTAAGGAAGTGACTTAGAGGAAGACGAGATGGCATTCTTTGAATGGTCTTCTTTGGAGAAATATGCACTAACCCATAACAATACATGGTGAACCAGTCAGTATTAATGAACATGGCCTTGAATGAATTTATTGTCTATGCCATAGAGCTCAGCAGCCTGAGGATAGGCTAGCCTACTAAAACATATTGAACTTACAAATTCTACAGTTCTAATCCCCCAGGTGATGTGAAAAGGTGGTATACTACAGCTGTTCAGACTCAAAGAGACTACTACACATTGACTGAAATAAAGAATAGTACTCCAATAACCACGAGTGCATGTGAACAAGAAGAACTGTGGGGAAAAAGCTGATATGTTACAGAAACAAAATTACTGTTTTCAAGTTTAAAATTTTTTCCTTGATTCTGTGACCTTATCTTTATAATTAAAAAAAAAATTAAATGTAGAGTCCACTTGATCCTTTATGATCCTTTATGAGACCTGATCATCACATCATGATTCTTTATGAGACCTGATCACATCAATGGATCGCATGGCCCTAAATGACTTAGTATTAAAAATTAGAACCAAAATGTCTGCGCTGTTCTGGCTACAGCTACCAAGTTTCCACAGCTGTTTAGACACCTTTTAATATAATTTATAGAATGCCCAAAGGCAGGTAGGTAGCCTACATCACCTTAGTATGATTTGATGTAGTGCATCTATACATTTCTTAATCATTTGGACCAAACTACTCCCTTCCTGATACCACTATACAAAGACACACACACACACACACACACACACACACACACACACACACACGGATAAATCAGTCTATAATAGCAAATGAAACTTATTAATTCAACAGGGATCCTAGACATTTTAATAGCTTGCCTAAAAAGTACTAGATTTTAGACAAATTTTCGTTAGTGAAATTAACTTGGTGAAATTACTCAGAGCTCACCTAATCTTATAACCTGTAGGCAGTCACAGCTAAAGATCATAAAAGAGCATTCCATTTAATTCACATCAGACTGAAATACAATATGCAATGTAAACTGTTTTCCAAGACTAGGAGAGCAGTTAAAACATTCTAAATATTCCAAATTCGTGGGAATAATCTTCACATTTAGTTTCTGTTAAGTTAGCTTCTCATGCACTTCAGAATAAAACCCAAATACAATGACTTCCTTTCACAAGCCTCTTTATCTACAACACAACACAACCGATAACACATCCCCCAAATAGTATGATGGTTCCGTTGACATTGGATCACATCCATGGACTCTTCTGTGACTAATGGAATATTTCTAAACCCTATGAGAAAAACATCAGTGGCAACCTTTCAATGGAAAACCATGTACTTCACATTCCCATGTGGAGTGATTTGCTTTTCCTAAGGAAGCACCCCTGACTGCTTAAGGGCAATCAAATATTCAATAATACCAAAGACCCTATGAGATCCTTTGCTCGATTAAAACAAAAAAAGTTTGCTAACCATTTTAAGCAATACAGCGCAGGAAGCTAAGGAAGCTAACTTTAAGACCTTTTTTTTTTTTTAAATTACAAGGACATTGAAAGTTTGATTATAAAGCTACCAGAACCCAAGAAATACAATGACCTCTTAAGGGCAGGGAATTTATCATGTCTCACCCTGCTCATTCCCCAGTTTCATAGAATACAGCAGGCGCTCAGGATGACTAGTGTGTGGGCTGCTAGTGCAACTTATCTACCCCAACTTTCTATCAATGCCGCAGAGAGCTAATCCCTTTTGTTCCTCTTTTCCCCATCTGAAAGATAAGAAATATCTAATGACATAGATAAGAACACTCAGATTAAAAAAAAAAAAAAAAAGTCTTAAGCAATGGAACTAATGAGATTAGAAGGTCCCGCACAGTTTCTCTGAGAGCGAGAGACAATGGTTAAGGGCATTGATCCTGGAGGAGAGGGCTTGTGATGAGCCCTACCTATCTCTCCCACTCACCACAGTATGACCATGGGCACAGTGATGCTCTCTGTGCCTTAGTTTCCTCATTTGGAAAATGGAAATGACTATAACAGTACCTACCTCATTGGGTTTTTGTGAGCATTATATGAGTATATGTCACTTAGAATGATGCCCAGCACATAGTAAGTGATCCTCAAATGTTTAGTATTTTTAAATATTATTATTTAAGGATTTATTCTCAACCTCAGATAACTGCATTTTGTCCCAATGGCAACTAAATGAACGGCAGGCCGCAAGTATTTAGCACACTCCCACCACACTCACTCTTCTTTAGGAAATTACAAACCACACGTTTTCCCCTTCAGCCACTGTCTTTTCTTAGTGCAGGTAAACTGAAAAAATGGGAAGTCAATGATCATCATCTCAAATGCAGAGGCATTGTACCTAAATGTTGGAGAAGATGACCTGATTTTTAAAAAATGCATTATATATTCTGCATCAAAAATCAGAGAGATGATCCACAATATATCAGCAATTGATGTTATAAATCACAATTTGTGATATATGCCTACCGTGGAATACTATTTAGCAATTAAAAAAAAAACTATTAATACAAGCAACAACACAGATGAATCTCAAAAATATTATAAGTGAAAGACGACAACATAGAAGACTATATATTCTATTATCCCATTTGTATGAAATTTTAGAAAAAGCAAAACTATACAGACAGAAGGCAGATTTGTGCTTCCAAGAGCAAGGGGGTTCAAGGAAATTTTTAGGATGATAGGACTTTTTATTGATTCCCATGTTGGTTACACAATACCAATAATTTCAAACTGTGCACCTAAAACATGTGATTTTAAAACAAACATGTGATTTTAAAACAAAGCAATCAGAGATCATTGTTTCTGTAAATTCTGAGGGCACATGTGAAGAATATGTTGTTTCTATAAAGTACAAAGTACGTATATACACAGTCAATCATTGAAAATACAACTTCTTTCTTCAGACAAAGTTGTAAAGAGTTATATTGTTTTAAAAAAGAATGAGCAGGCAACATCTTTAGCTACCATTGGAGGTTACAAAATAGAAGAGGTCAAGGTAAAAACTTTACAAAGTAGAAGTTTCCTCACAAACATAAATATTTCATTTTAAAACTAAAACTAAAACAAAGGAATCTGTCATCTAAGAGTCAAAAAAAAAAATAGAAAAATTCCTCCATATACCTAGACCAATGGTTTATTAAAACCTGTTTATAACGAAAGATATGGACAAACACATTTTTAAAAAATAACCCTAAACTCACGGTTTAATTCATTCATCCCACTTAAAAAACAAATAGAGGGGGAAAAAACTCTCTAGGGATTCTGAGTTTAGGTTCCAGCTACTGGTGAAAGAGCCAGGGACTCACCTCTGTGGTTCCATCTTTGAAGCCCTCGCTGTAAGTGCTGTCCGGGGTGCTGCGCTGGTCATCCTTGAGGTAGGTGCTGTGGCTGGCCATGGAGGGCACACCGTACTGAGTCTGTTCAAAGATAACCACACGCTGCTCCTCGCCGTCTCCCCGGGGATAGTGCACGGGTGGGCCCATGAAGACCGGTGTGAAATCCTCAGCTTTCACCACCGTGATTCCGGACACGGGGACGATGGCAGGGCTCTCGGGGATGTTCGTGCCATAGTGTTCCCGTTTGGAATTCTCCAGGTGGTCTTGATTTAGGGAAAGGTTCACTGGAACAGTCTTTAGGACCTGCACGCGGTTTTCTCCTCCGCTCAAATTACTCTGGGCTTCACTGGTGCCGAGACAGTTCCTGTGAGTTTAAATCCACCCCACAACATGATAGAATTAGAAAAGTTACCGTTTTGCAATTCTTAACAGAATAACTGATGCTGGCAATAATCAACGGATGTGAACACCATTAAAGGAAAGATTGATGGTGAACTTTATAATGGGATGCAATGGATCTTTGCATCTCTAGAAATAGGACGACTACACATGTGTTCCTCAATTTATCATGCAATCAGCCCATCTCTAAAGCACTATTACAAAAATAAAAATAAAAATAAAAAAGGACCTTAAATCTAAGCAAGCCTTCACATCTACCTTCCAGCTCTCAGGAAGTGAGGGAGCTGGAAGAAGGACTTAGACAACATCAAAAAGAAGCAATCAGACAAACCAGAATGTAACATGTCTTACTGACCTGTTTCTTCAGTAAGTCACAGGCATGAAAAAAGGAAAAAGGGTGGGAGACTTGTTCTGGATTAAAAGAATTTTAAAAGACATAACGATCAAACGTGATGAGTAGATCTTGTTTGGATTCCGATCTCAATAAACCAAAGAGGCATTTATGAAGCAGTGGGATTTTTGAGGCAATTGAATATGGACTAGGGCTTACGCGATATTAACGAAGTATATTAATGAGTTAGGTGTGATAAGTATTTTGATTATGTAATAAAATGTCCCTTTTTTTAGAGATACAAATCACAAGTAGAGATAAAATGACATGAGGTCAGGGGCTTATTTTAAATACCACTGCAATTTAAAAAAGGGGGGGGCGGTTAGGAAAGAGAGAAAAAGTACAGATTAAGCAGATGTACAAAAACTTATCGCTGATGAACCCGGAGGATGGGATGGGTATTCGGGGGTTCACTATACTATCATCTTTACTTCGGTATGTGTTTGAAAATTCTCAAAAGAAAATGTTTTAAAATAGCTTTTTTAAAAACACGGGAGGGAAACTAACATGATATTTCAACAGGGGTAGGAAGGGTACTTTTCACCTTCCTGTGGGCGGAACTCAAAATCTAGAAGTCGTAGGAAAAAGAAGACGATGAGAATTTATCAGTAAAATATTTTCACTAAATTAAGAACTAATATGAGCTTATTGATATCTTTAGCATTGAATTACTTTCAGGGTTTGAAGAAGTGGTGTAACTGGGCTTTTGCAAAACAACACCTCTCAGATCTCAGACCTCCCAGCTGGTACAAAGAGAAAAATGACGATTTAGAAAATTAGTTCTTGCCAGGCTAGGATGAAATATTTTCATTTATACTAAAGAATTCTGGGAGTGAGCAAAAGCAAAGAGAGCCTTGTTAATGGAAGATTACTGTTGATAGCAAAATGATTTTACTAGCAAAGTCCCTGTGGTCAGTCAAATTTGGGGCTACCTCTCAGTTATTTATGGATTATTCTGATTGATACAGAGAGGAAAATACATGTTCTGCATGGAGCCCTGTCTCCAATGTCTGCTTTTTTTAAACTAGCATCTTCTTTCTAGGGCTTACTGGCATCTCTCATGGAAAGAAAATATTCTAATAAAATTGGTTCTTCCAAGAATTGAGCTCTCCAGCCTCCTCTCTATAAAGGAAGTCCATTAGCCTCTGAGCTAGCCTATCTCTCAAGCAGGACTTGGTATTTTGGCTTTGATTTTTTTCAGATAAAACTTCAAAGCGAAGCTTGAGGAAACAATGGCTCCACGTGAAAAAAGCCAACAGAAAAATATCTAAACTTCTTTGAGACTGTCACAGACCTGTAGAAATTACTCTAGAAAATTATCCTTTAAAAAATAAAATCGCAAATCTACAAACATTCTGGTTTTAAATAATAACCTGCTTTCATGGCCAAATCAATCAGTAAATCTGAATATAAGACACAGTGAAAATTTAGAAATTATGTTTAATCTGAATCCAGTTAGCTGGAGGATGCAAAAACCCAGACCACCCATTCATATCGGCATTTCCTAAACCCCATTATTTAGAACATTGCATGGAATGTTAATAAATGTTCCTCAAAGAAAGGAGTCCATGATAACATCAGTATTAAAACAAAATAACAACAAAAAGCAATTGCCTAACAAGACCACCCTGGTGGGTCGCAAACATCCTGAACAGGGTAGAGGCCCCCCAGGTGTTCCTTCACCTGCTTAACTGTAACCCAGAATTTCTGAAGCTCATTTTATCCCAGACCTTTTAGTGGAAGATTAACCATTGCTACTTGTAGATAATGTCCTACAAGTTGGGTGTAGAAAGGTTGGTCTCCATCGATTAGCTACCAAAGCAATTACCCAGTTTCCACTCGTCTGGGCTTTGCACAAGCATGCTCTTACTGGCTTGGCCACAATATTCAAAGTTAATCGATTCCTCTATAGTTAGGGTCTACTTTAGCACAAATTTCTTAATTTTTTACTTCATGCAAAATTTCTGAAATCTAAACAAGAAACACAAGTAAAAAATGTGGAGTGTTCTTATAAACGAATAAAAAAGCAAACTATAAAGTGGTATAAATCTTTTCGATTTCTTATTATCATACGACAAGGAAATAACAGACTCAGCACCATCCTATAATGTGTAATATCCCTCTGCAAAACAGCATTGGCTTTAGAAGCTGATGCCAGAGAAAGACGTCCAAAAAAATGGATGATTAGAACAAATAAGAATTGTGAGATACTGACTCACCTGCAATAAAATTTAAAATTAAATCAAATATTTAATATGAGAAAAAAATGCAATGCTAAGAATGAAGCATTAAATATACTTTTAAAAAAAAATCTGGATTATGTCGTTAAGATTCTATTTCTCAAAGCAGCAGCTTCTGTATGCAAACAGTTATAATGATACCATGTTAGCTCATGGCACCTTAATTCACGAATGCACTGCAGAGCAAATGATATCCTTCCAAACCACATGCGGCCAGTCTACTAAGTCATAATCAGTCTGTACAAGATGGTTTTGTCTATACCTCATGGCCGGCTTTTTTAAAAGTGCTCTATTGAAATCACAAAAATAAGCATTAAAATACAAGGAGTGGCTATCACTTGTTAATGGTATTCTAAAAGATACTTTAAGAGAACATGGCCTATTCTGTCTGTTATGACCCAGACAGAGTACACATCTTAGACTTGTTTTTCCTTGATCCCTTAATGATTGCTGATATAGGACTCGGCAGACAGCATATGCTCAGCTTAATACTTACTGGCTAGATGAAAGAAAAGTTACAGGACCCGAAGAGCATCAGCCTCTTTCTCCCTGTCATCACTACTACCAACTAGGACCCAGGGCCCCAGAGCAGCAGGGAGCATCAGAAGATCCCTGTGGAGCTGCAAATCAGAAGCGGGCGGCCTTTGTCTTCTGCTGGGGTCTACCTTAGAGGTAATGCACACAGATCGGGGCTGCTGGTTGGTGGGGTGACCCCCACTTCTAGTCATTTAATGAGATCATAATGTCACAAGCAGTTCCTATCGAGGCCAGGTAAGATTCTGATGTATGTGCTAACAGGGGGTTTCACTTCTCTTGGCTTCATATTTCAATTTGGAAAAAAGCCTTCAATAGAAAAACACTGCAGTACCTACATCCCTCTGCAGGGGAAGAGATGCATTTGATTGGCTCGTTGGGGAGAAGTAGCAGAGCAAGGTGGTTGAGTTCCTTTCTATTTGAATCATCTTGTCCAAAGAGAGGAGACACTCCAGACACCCCTGCCGTGCCACGAGAGGTCTGTCCCATCAAAGAGACCTGAAGCCCTGTCTGGGACTAGATGAGTAAGCATATCTAAGGCAGGAATGAAATGTTAGAAATTGTAGATTTAAAATCACATTCTCTAACTAGCTTCATCAGAAATAAAACAGTTTCTTTTTTCCTTTTTAATTTCAATCTGTCTGCCTGTGTTTTGTTTTTCAATTGATTCTTATTTAGGACCGCAGGAAAGGGGTGCTACATAATGATGTCCCAACATCTTTCCTGCCCATACCCTGACAGTCTGCTGCTACCCAGCGCTGCCTGCCTGGGCCAAGAAACAGCCCTGCCTCGTTCCTCTCCCCTCATCGAAAGCAAGCTGCAAGTGTCTCATCCCCTCAAGGGCTTGATCACACCTACAGAAAAGTTCACCCTAGCAGTGGACTATCTTGCTGGCATATCACCTCTAACTCTGGGAATTTCCCGCCTCCTTGGAAGGGGTTAGTATATCTAGAGCCTGTGCATCCAAAGGATGCACAACCAAAAAATGCAATTTGCTCTCCCTACCGAGGCATCCAGTTTCGGTCCAGACTCCAAAAGACAGAAAAAGGAGACTATGCTTCTTGATCTCATCTCTTCTCAGAAACAAAAATTAGCGTTTAATACTGTTGTTTAAAAAAAAAAAAACAAAAACATAGAACAATAGTTATTTTGGGAGCTTTACATAACACTGTACCTTTTGTCCTGGTCTTCTTGGCTGTCACTTGCTTTGCTTACAGACAGCAGCCTCTTGTCTCGAGGAACCTGAAAACATCAGCAACCACCAGTCAGACTTACATAGGTGCAACCACGACCACGTGCAGAGCCAGACACCAGCATAAGCAAAGAAACCAGAATGCAATGCTCTTCAGGAGAAGTAGCAGATTTGCCATAGCCAGGAGATGGTTAAAGTTTAAGTACGTGGCAATGGCAGCGGGCCAGACACAAAGGGGTGATGATAAACGGAGGGCTACCACAGTCATGATTCTGCTGTGCATTGCTGACACGGGCCAACTCTCCCTGGACCTGAGCTACTGCTGAGCCCTCCCCACTTTGGGAGTTGATGGAGGAAAGAAACACAATAAACGGAGGGCGAATCTGAACCTCTGTGCTCTGAGCAGACAGAAAACATCTTGGAGTTACAACAGGCATCCTGTTAAGGAACAGGGACTGACCCTCTACTCTGATGAGGGACCTCGGGTGCCGACATGAAGCGGAGCGAACTGGGCATGGGGCTGCACTGTCCACTGAGGGACGACGTCTGATATTCTTGGACCACCCTTTACCTACACTCCCTACATAGCTCTGGGACTTGCTTCCACAATTTTTCTTCTAATACACCTTTATTATTGTCTTCACAACCACGATGCCAACACGTTGCCTCAAAGATTATCGAATAAGTACACTTAAGGGGCACCCCCCCCCGCCAACCAGCTATGTTTCTAACTGTCATCTAATCACCCCACTGCAGCTCAGATTGTTTGCATATCTCTGCAAACAATCTTTGCAGTTTGCAAACATGGGAAGAGGAGGTTTGGATTTCTTTGGTTGGTTGGATAGTTTTGGGTTTTTGGTTTTGTTTTTCCTTCTAGCCAAACTCCTTTGTACTCAAAACTCAGTCTTCACAATTTTGACATAAAAGAGCACTAATGAGAAGCACCCCTTCTCTGAATTCCCCTAGCAATTCTCATGGTTTCCACTCACCTGACTATCTATGCAAGCCCAGTCAGCTGGACAAGGGAGGCAACATAATAGGGTGGCTAAGAGGCGAGACCCAGACTGAACTGTCTGGGTTCGAATCTCCAGCTCTGCTACTATCTACACTCTGCCTCGCTTTCCTCATCTGTAAAACAGGCTTAATGGTAGAGTTTTATATCTTACAGGGTTTTTAGTAAAATTAAATGAGTTAATTTTTAAAAAATGTTTAGAGTCTTTGGTACTTTATAAGTATTTGTTAAATAAAAATAAGATAAATTCATTGTAAGTTCATTCACATGTCAATGTTGAGGGTCTGCAATGTACCGGGCATTGCTCAGTGTTAGACAGAAATGAAGTGGATATAACATAGCTCCTATCATCTACTGAAGATGACAGATAAACACAAAATTTCAATACCCAGCACACCTATGGTCACAGTAGCATTATTCACAATAGCCAAAAGGTGAAAACAACCCAAATGTCCATCTACAGATTAACGAATAAACAAAATGTAGTATATATATACATTAGAATACTACTCAGCCTTAAAACTGAAATTCTGATACATGCTATAATATGAATGAGACTTAAGGATATTATATTAAATCCCATGTGACTCAAATTCATCTACTTCCCTCCAGATGCCTGTTTCCTGGTTCAGCCTCCAAAATCTCTTCCTGGACTGCTACATCAGCCTCCTAATGGTCTCTCTTTCACTTCGTCCTTACAAATCCATTCTAGATTCATTAAGAAGATTCAGAGAGACCTTAAAAATGCAAGCCTGGTTCTCGTTCATCACTGCTTCCCATTATTCTCAGGAACATGGCCACCAAAAAGTCTTTCACCTCAACTTGGGTGGCCCTCATCACTACCATGCATACAGACACACTGCCTGTCTGGCCGTGCAATGCTCATTCTCAGACAGAGCCAGCACACGAAGTCCCATCTGCCTGGAACACACCCCACCCCACTCCCCACCTATGCTTTCTCTGAGCTAATTCACGAGCATGCTTCAAGTCTCATCTAAATGCATATCCAAAGTTAGACTATAATTTCCATGAATGTCCGCCTCGTGCATGGTTATGTCCCGAGTGCCTGGAATGTAGCAGGCCCTCATTAAATACTTGTTGAAACAATGAATCGATCAGTCAAAATGTCCTGGAAAAGACAGAACCCAAGAAACAGAGGAAATAGGGATTCCCAATACTAAAACATGTTAGCAACCCCCAAAAAGGCGGGAAGCAAATGCCACCGTTGCCAAGGCGCATGGAGGAGAGCGCTGAGCATTCCGCTCCACCCCCCACGCTGGGAGCCATGCAACTGAGGCCATACTAACCTTTGGGCCCACTCCTACCTGGGAAACTCAGAACCATGTTTACCTTTGGTCTGCCAAAGACTGTCCTCCACAGAGAAACTGAGACCTCTGAACTCGGGCTCCTCTCCAGTCTAGACCCACATCACCATCTATCCTGGACATTCTACAAGCACACCAAATTCCACACACACATCTCTCTCTCCCCAAAGCCTTTCTCCTGTACTCCCCACCTTGGTGAACCTGGGGATTTTCTCGGATATCTTGATCCGAGTGATGGGGTTCCCCTGCCAACTCATAGACACACACAATCAGTTGCTAGCTTTTACTCAAACAAATACTTGATGATTTCCTGAACATAATGCTTTGTCTCTAGTGTTTATTTTGGTGGCTGACTTAGTGACAATCTGACAAATGCCGATCCAGAAAAACCCCACCACCATGCTTACTGCAGGTTGTCATCATTTTTCAACTGGACTATCCCGATTGACTGCTCACTGGATTCTCTGCCCATAACCCACCTCGCTCTGCTGCTGCTGCTGCTGCTCCTGCTGTAATATGTGTAAATCATTTCTCTAATCTACCAGGCCTATATTCAAGATCCTTCAATCTCAGAGGAAATGATGCCAAATAATACGATAGAAGAATTACAGGATATTTCATTTTCTTCTTTAAGCTTTCCTGCATTTTCATGTAAACTTAAAATGAAAAGCTATTTTGAAAAATTTCAACAGCTTATGAATATTTATTAACTCACTTATTCATGCATTCATCCAGCAAAAAGAAAGGCCATGCACCTAGCCCTGGACACCTTTTTGAGAAAATAAAGCCCAGCCCACCTGGCCTCTTCCAGAGGGATCCACTGCCTTCCTGATCAATCTTCACTGCCCATCCCCTTCAGCTCAGCAAGACCGATTACCTGGATTCCACTGAGAGCAACCATGTTTTCTCATCTCTTGTTCCCTTTGCCTGAAATGCTCTCTCTTCATCTGTCCACCTGACAAACCCTCCTCTGTTCCCCAGTAGAGCACGCGTTGCTTCCTCTAGAAAACCTGAACTCTTTAAGGAGGTGCCACTCTTCTCTCACTGCTCACGGAGCACGTCCCTGTTACTGCACTAACTGCCACACGCTGTGGTTGTAGCTTTATAGAACTACGCCTGCCCTGGACTGTGATCTCTCTGAGGTGTTAAACTGGGTCCCATCTGTCTTTGGATATCAAATTCACCTCCGTAATATCTACTACCACTGCTAGAAGGTCACAGCTGATTAGTGAATTTCTGTAGAATGGAAGGATGGATAGATGGTTGGCTAGCTGGTTGGCCAGATGGATAAATGGATGGCCTTATGGGTGGACAAACAAACAAACTAAAAAACTGGTTTCCAGCAGTACCAGATCAACAGAACGGATGGAAATCAACTGGCCAGGAAAGCATGTTTTCACTAGAGCTAGAATCAGATGATTGTGAACCACCGGCTCCATCAGGAGAAAATAAAGTGAGATAAATGCATAAGTTAGTTATTTTAAAAATAACTAACTAATGGAATCTGTCATGTTCTTCTGTCACATCTAAAATTCATCAAAAGCTCACTCTTGACTTTAGAGCTGCTATTGACAAGTAGCTTGAACTGGATAGAAAACTGAGCTAGTATTTGAGCCCCTAAATTATGAAAGATTCTAGCAATTTGGCTATTTTTATAATAGATATAATCTAAGTAGCTTCAAATGTATATTTTTAAAATTTGAACCCATTTTCAAATGGGTTCAAAACAATGGTAGACAGTATAATGGACTGAACTGTGTGACCCTAAAGTTCATGTTAAAGCCCTAACCTCCAATGTGACTGTATTTGAAGACGGGGACTCTAAGGAGGTAATTAAGGTTTAAATGAGGCCATAAGGGGGGGCCCCTAATTCGGTAAGACCAATGCTCTTATAAGAGGAAGACACCAGGAGTAAATGCACAGAGAGAAAAGGCCATGTGAAGACACAGCAAGAAGACGGCCAACTGCAGAGGAGGAAGGAAGAGAAGTCTCACCAGAAACCAACCCTACCAGCACCCTAATCATAGACTTTCAGCCTCCAGAACTGTGAGAAAATACATTTCTGTTGTTTAAGCCATCTAACCTGTGATAATCTTTTGTGGCTGCCTGAACAGACTACTACAGTGTAATGGAACAGATGTTAGGAAATGTACAGGACCTACTTGAGACCTTGAGTAAATCTGACTTAGTTACCTGAACTATAAAATATAAAACAGGATGGGCTTCCCTGCAATGATCCTGTGGTGACAGTTTAAATTGCAGGTGAAAAGACTTTGAAATGTATAAAGTATTATACCAAGATATGCCTTTGCCAGCTTCCAAGGACAGGGACCAGCATTTCTTGAGTGCGTGCTGTGTGTCATACACGCTTTTCTATGACAAAGCCCACTTCTATTCCTGAGGAGCAATATACTCCAACCTTAGGAATAAAAAAAATGATGCATGGTACAAAAATAATCAACTAGCATTCCAAAGAGGTATAAAAAGTCTATAGAATTTAAATAATAATGTGGCAGTAATTGTTACAATAAAACGACTTCCCAAAATTTACTCTCGTAAAATAGAACCTCTTTTCATTAACATTTTACTTTACTACAGAAAGGTTTATCCTCAAAGTAGATTTAACTTTGTTTTAACTTTAACACCAGCATATATACGCTGTGAATAACCAAGGGTCGACTAAGGCCTGAAAATAATCATTTGGATGCAAAGTTTTTGGAAAGAAGACTAATTCTTTAATGTTTAAAATGTTTCCAGTATAATTATAGTAAAGCTTATATGAGATAAAAGAAGCCGTGTAATTTACTAATCCACAGTCTTAGAAAACATTTTATTTAGATATTTTACATCCTAAATGAATAAATTAATCCTGGAAAATATTAAGTCAACAGAAAGAGTTATAAACTTGGTTACAAATTGAGTTTTATGTAAACTCCCTACTCTACATCTCAAAATATTTACAGGAAGGAATATTTCAATTCATTTGACTATTAAAAACATACAAGAGGAAAGGCAATCCAGCACCATATTTACCAATACTTAATTATTCTCTGAACCTATGGGAAATAAATTCATTGCTTTCATAAATTACTAATTATTTTTGTTCTGACGTATGTCTTTATTAATACAAAAGAATTGACATCTAATACAGATAATATATTGAATTATATCCATTTCTCAGCAATGAAATAAAATCTATTTTAAGAATAGAACAATATATTTCTTCAAAATATGTCTTAATATATATCCACCAAGTTTTATGAAACTGTTAATTAACATATTATTTTAATATAGTTATAAAAGAAGTTGTAATGACCAAAGTGATTAAATCTGGGTCACTTTAATGATGTGTTACTAGATGCTAAAAATTGATAAAACTCTCAAGTTTTCACTATTTTTTTTTATCATAAAATTGCTTTGTGATTTATTTCTAAGGATATGACCGCTTCTGAACATTATGTATTAACACAAAACTCTAATAAAGCTGAACCCTCAAGAAATGGCCCAGGAGTCTAATTTGATAAGTTTTATAGTTCTGTACCATCTTCAATAAATTTTGAAATTTTTCACTCCAAAACATGTAGAATTCATCCTTGTATTTTTCAAATGAGCTCCTCAGTCAAAAAAGGGTTAAAAATATAAAAGAATCACAAACAAAAAAAAGGAGAGAGAAAGCCTACCATGAAACCATCTTTGTTTTGGGGGCTCATTTTTTTCAGCCGCTACCTACTTGTTCACTGGAGGAAACTGTCCTTCTTACGTGAAACATAGTTTAGGCTCTAAAACACCCTTTCATCTAGAGCCCAAGTCTTCCAAAGTTACAGTCCCTTCTTGCTATGCCGGGAGCCACATCGGGAGTTTTTCACCTTCACAAGAGGACTGTCAAAATCTGCTAATTCCACTCTTGGTAAGGGGAAAAAGTCAGCATAGACTGGCCAGGGTACCAGTGGAATGTCCTTCATATATTTCTCCTGAACTTTATGACAATAAAAGATAAGTTTATTTGAGTTAATAATACCTCATTTTATGTACCCTGGATGGGCTGACCTGTCAATTACTCATATCTTGTTTTTCATCTTAGGTAAGGCTAACTTAGCATGGCTTTCATTCATCTCCCCACAGAGGGAGCCATCCTTGGTATTTTAATGAGGAAAATAGAAAGAAGATGGGAAAAAAAAGAGTGATTATAAGGAACTCTGGCAGAAGAGTAGGCCTGGAGGAAGTGTCAGAGTTGGTGGTAGCGGGAGGTCTTCTGAAAGCATGAACATTGGTTTAGGAGAGATACAGGGAACAACACAACTTGAAAAAGTAGAGACTGCTGGAAGGAAACAGGAAGTAAGAAGCAGGAAGGAAACAGGAAACAGGAACTGAAGCTTACTACAAGGAAAATTGTTCCTCTGGGGTGATATTCTAATCATGGGGATGAGAGAGGTAAGGATTTAATCCTTATTCTAAAATAGTTCACTGTGTCCAACTAGCAAAATAAACACTGCCATTCTCACCTTAGTACCGATTCCCAGCCTCAACCAGCGAGCAATAAATCTCCTCATTCAGTAAATACTTGTTGATTTTTTATATTTCCCTGGTTCTAAGGGAACAAGTCATACCAGATATAGCCGTAGTTGAGATGGACCATTGTTTGTCGCTTGATTTCCTGAACTACTCCTATTTTGAAGGTACTGCATGGCAGGTATTTTTGTAATATAACTAAATTACATTCATTTTATTTTAAGCATTGTTCAAAATAAATATTTAGTACTCATCAAAATAAACGCAGACAGGTAGGGTTGTAACAAAATTGGGTTTTGGAATTGCTGCAAAACTCTACCCCAAAAGCATTCATTGGAATTCCTTATAAAACTGAAATGTCTAGAAACCCTGAATGTTTCTTTTAAAACAGAGATCTAAAAGCAACCTAAACGCTCGATAACTGAGAATGACTAAATTATGGTAAGCTACACAATGTCATATTCTTTTTTCATAATGCAATATTCTTTATTCACTAAAAATAATAATCATAAAGTAAAAACAGCGGCAAGAAAGTATTTGCAAATATGACATAAAGAAGGAATTATAAGTAGGTGATATGTATGCATGCAAGCTGAGAACACAGAAATAATTATCCCAAATGAAAACTTCCTCTGGGTGGGTGGCGAAGTTATGCTTCATCAGTGGGAAAAAAGAGAAGCAATGGGAACAGGAGGATACTGAATTCCCAGGAAGTTTGTAAATGCTGTCAGTTCTCTGGCCTGAGAAGAAGAATCTGTGCCCTCTTCCCACCACCAAGGGGAGGCCAGGAGCAGGAAGAGGAGGGAGTGGAACTGCTCACGTACCTTGTAGTAGTCATACAGCAGGCCCAGGGCAGCCGCGCTGTCCTCGTCCCCGTTAATGCTCATCATGGCCTTGGTGGCCGCTGTCAGGGGATTCTCCAAATACGACTTCCAGGCTTCATCCTCACTGGTGTAGGCTCTTCGGGTATTGAATGGAGGGTCACTGGGCATGGGCACTAAGGCCACCAGTCGTTTGTTACTGTGAAAGCAAGAGAAATGTGAACTCCATTATCAGAGAAATGTTCCTATTCCCACTAATAATATACACATAATATGGTTAATTTGTACGTTCCCTGAATGGAGAAGGGAACATTAAAATTAAAGTGACTGCCACATTGCATTGATAAAAGTCACTGATTTATTTTTTCACTTTCTATGACAAGTAAGAATGATCTTTAAAAGGTTGTATAAGCAGTGTAAGTTGGTCCCTTCACACTTGGTTTTCCATATCCAATCATTCTAGGGTCAAAACATTTTATTTCAGTACTTTCCATTAATGAATATTAGAATGAAACCCTGTGAAGAAGTAGGTTTCATTTAATTCTGTTGTAATTATAAATATGTGCAGTACATTAAACATAATCATATGTCAATGATTATTAAAAATTATCCACTTTAATCTACATTTGAAATTGCTAGTGAATTATAGGCCAATCCAAAAGTCTTTTAATTTAAAAAGGCAATATAAGCTACTTTGCAAGCAAGACATAATAAAGATGAAACAACTGTGATGAGACAGACTTTATATGTGAATCCAGTGTTGCCACAGGATCCTACTATGTTTAAATGACATAGAAGCTACATGTTTTAAAAATCATCATGGAGAGTGAGGAATGCGTCTGGAGAAGTTTCAGTAGAAGTTTCAGGAGAAAATTGACAGAAAGGGGCTGAAGTAATCATTCATTAATCCTAACCAAGCCAAATCTGAGTAAATCAGGAATTGACAAACAAGGCAATTTCTTAAGGAGGATGTGGTGACTCCAACATCCAAAGACCACAACAGTCCTCAGCAGCTGTCTGATCAGGACCCCAGCTGTCAAATAGAGAAACCTGGAGAGACTCTGGCCCTCATCCATGGGCCCTCCTTCCCTTGTTCACTGAAATGGAAATGAAATGGAACAATGAGACATTGTATTTCAGTAACCCCTATGTCCGCTCCTAGTAACAGGACACAGACAAGTGACAGGACTGGTGAAGGCAACATCTATACTAACCAATGGAAATTCAGCCCCAAGGGCCTTCAACAGTCATTCAGTTCTAAAAGAGGTCCCTTTTTGTTGACATTCCTACAGGGCCTTCCAATGGTAGATGGTCTCTCAGTTCGCTTTGTAATGAGAACCGGTGTGAACCTTCAACAGCATGTTGAGGGTCCTTTAGGTGCTGTCATGGTGCCGTGCATGGTGTAAGGTCATAAAATGACGCTGACTTTGGTAAAATATATTTGGAGACAGGGGCAGGAAATTCACAATTAGCTGGTGAAATTCTAGGCTAGATGGTCTCCAGGCTCCTGGTTTGAATTCTCTGTGCCAGTAGTTTGATAGAACTGATTGGGGAGAAAGAGAATATTAACCTAATTGCAAGGAAATTGAGTGAAAAGGATGTAATCAGGTTTCTGGAGGTAAATGAGAAAAACTCTGAAGGAAGGGTTTAGTAACCATTAGGCGGTGCGGTGGCCTGGGAGCAGCGCCGGCCTCGGGAGCAGC